ACTAAATCCTCAGTTTATTGGGCCATTTGAGATCTTAAATAGAATTCGTACTGCCGCCTACAGACTGGAACTACCTCTAGAACTATCCAAAGTCCATAATGTGTTTCATATGTCCATGTTTTGCAAATACAACTCGGACCCCTCTCACATCTTGGCCCACGAGCCCCTTTCACTCAAGGAAGATATGTCATATGAGGAAGTACCAGTAGACATTGTAGATCAAAAGAGCAGAGTACTCCACAATCAGAAAATTCCATTCGTTAAGGTTTTATGGCAGAATCACACATGGAGAAAGGCCACATGGGAGCTAGAATCAGACTTCAGAGTCCAGTATCCCCACTGTTTAATTGAGTGAGAGGGAAACAAATTTGATGGATCAAATTTCTTTTAAAGGAGGGAGAGTTGTAATACCCGAACCCAGAATTTGGACCGTGATTAATTTTAACATTCTAAAATGTATAAAAAAATTATTTTTAAAACTAATAAATTTTAATTTGATGTAGAATTACGAAAAATAGGTTAGGAATAAAATTAAAAATAATTTTTGGAAAAATTAGTGAAAATTTGGGTTCGAACAGTGTTTTTGAAAGAAAGATTAGAAACTGGGGGTCAAAATATAAATAAAAAATATTTGACCATGTAGGACCACCCAGTCAGCAGTCTCGACGAATCGGAGCGTGCCACGTGGCAAGACACGCTGACTCGGTGACACGCAGGAGACCACGCTAGTGATTCGCATGCCCCGCAATTGAAGGACCCAGAAGCAATCCTGCGTGGTTAGATGGACTGGATCCATTTTCTCCTTAGGCGCAATCAAATGGTCGAGATCAAACGCAATGAACAATCCATATTTGTTTCTTCCTTAGGCACAATTGAACGGTAGAGATCAAACGCGATGAACAACTCAGATTAACGTGATGTAAGAATAAATATTTTGCATCACACTAAACCCGAACCCTACTCACCAACCTCCCGGCGGAGAAGAAAAACCAATCGCTGGAGAAGGGAGCCGACCGCCCACCGCCGTCGCACAGGAGCTACCTCCAACCGTCAAAAAAGGTAAAAATTCTCTTACCCGCTTGATATTTGATTATGAGCACCCCTGTGGCCATATCGGAGCAAAACAAATGGCAAACGAGCTGAAAACTGCGGGCAAAGCCTGACAGAGCTGCTGTGGGCAAAACTCGCAACCTTCTCCTATAAGCCCCTTCCCGTTTTCTGTTTCATGCGATTTTTCTACCGTTGTGTTCACTATTCTGTTTTCTACAGGTTAATCGAAGAAAAAATTCCAGCCACTAAGGTGAGCCAGCGCAGCCGTTGCACCTGGAAAACCCCACCACCAATAAGTTTATGTTTTCTAATTTTTTGGGCCAATCGATGCCTTTTAATGTATTTTTTTGCATGAATATTTATAAAATCGGTCGAAACCGGCTTAAAACGGTTAAGTCGAAGCAAACCGCTACCATAGGCGAGGGTGCCGTCGTTAGAGCACGATGTCGTCGTGCCAGAACTCTGAAATTGGCTGAAAATAATTTTTAACACCGATTTTAAGTTTTTGGGATATTTTTAAGTACGTAAAGCGTGTTCTAATCTCCGCAATAAAATTTAGGAAACTCAGGGATCGCCAGTAGGCGCAGTAGAAAGTTCGGTATTTCGGATACCGACTCGAGTAAGGATCCCTCACCCTTTTCTCCGTTACGAAAAATTGAGACTTAATAATTAATAATTGTGTGTTTTATAAAAAATTAGAGAATCTTAAAAATAATTACAGGTCACTAGTGGAGCCGGAATCAGTTAGTTCACAGTCGTCTCGATTTCCTTTTTATTTTTCTGTATTGACTATATTTGTTTACTATTGTACTGCGCGTAACTTAATTGATGATTTTTAGGGTCGTTTAGTTATTTGTTTTCCCTGCATTGCGTGCCGGTATTCTGGTCATTAGTTATTTAGCTATATTAAACTATATTATTGTTTAAGTGAACGGTGAGTAAAAAATGAGATATGATTATTATATGATTGATTGTTATGCTAATGAAAATCTGTATAGAAAAGATTTACTAGGTACCCGGGAAAGAGCAAACGGACCTGGTACATAGAGAATTCTACCGTGAATGTTACTTCAGTAGAACAAGGCTAGAAAGTCCCTTACCAGTAAGGTTTGTGATATATGGTTCACCCTCATACTGGATGAGGTATCGAGGTGGTGGCATGTTTGACCCTCATACCGGACAGGGTATGGAGATGTCTAGTTAACTGTTTACTTAGATATTGGGTTCACGAGTCGGAGAACATTTCTATGAATACGGACCCTAGGGGTACCAGTAAGCAGATAAAAATATAAAATGATCATTTCTTATTATCTTCTATGTGATAAATAATAGTGCATGAATATAAGTTTTCATAAGTTACTGTTGGGAAAGAATTTTTACACAAATATAGAATAAATGACTTTTTTTATAGTAAATAAATTTACATAAAATTAAAGGTTCCATTGGTTGTTTTTTTTATTTTTGCCAATCTTCAATTTTCTATATCTGTTATTAGTGTGATATTTTTACTGAACTAGTGTGTAACTCACTCATTCATTAACTATTTCAGATCAAGAGGAGTAAGATCCAGATCTCAATCAATAAGAAAATTGTGAATAGTTCACCACTAGGATTGTTTAGTTGTTTGCATTTGTTTATTCTTTAATTTTCGTTTGTTCTTTGAGAAGGGACATTCCCGTATCTCCATCGAGTATTCTAAAGTATTGTGTAAAAAATGTAAACCCTAACTCTATTATTTTGCTTCCGCATTTAATTTATGACTTTATTTTCATTTAAGTTTTGAGCCTTTATATTATACAAATTATGATAAATAACTTATTAATTACTATAATGATATCAAGTCAAAGAAAATTCTTATGTTTCATCATTGTAAGAGAATATTTTATTGATAATTTAAAGTAATACTAATCATTACGAATTTTCAATTGAGTCGATTTAATAATCATATTTCCATATGCATCATTTATATATATGATTTAATTAATGAAATCAACTATTTTTTATTTTATAAAAACCATCATATATATATATTAATTTTCTTAAATAATTAATGTTATATTTTAATGATCAAACGATTAAAAATATTTTAAATTAAAAAAAATTTACTCTCATTATCAAGATCTCCATTTTGATATAAAATATCTTAATTTAATCAAAAATTTTATTATATAAATTAAATAATAAAATAATAAATATAATAATAAAAATATTATTATTATATATTAAAATAAATTATCAAATAAAAATACATTCGATATATTACATAAATAATTAGATCTTTAATACAACAATTATATCCCTAACGATTAATATGAAAGTTTCTGTTTCAAAAAGTTTGGCTTGTTTTCAATTGAATTAAATAGCAAAGCAAGAAAGTTTTTCTACATGATAAAAGTTTTCTTTTCTTTTCCTCTTCAGAAAAAGAATAGACCAAGAAAAATCACCTACGAGATTATAACAGCTTCCAAGTGTGAATAGAATTCAATCAAAATCTGGGAATAGGTGCAAAAATTACCTTCGGCAGTACATGCAGAAGATATGCCATAAGCAATGTAAACCCATCAACATATGTACAACTTGGAACTTCTTTTCTCGATCTACTACAAATCTTGAAAACTGTTCATAAAAGAAAATAAAAGGAGGCAAATAAAAAATAATCACCTTAATATTCACCTCCTCAAATACCAACTTCTTCTAAATGAGCAATATTCAGATATGCCACGCATAAAAAGAATGCCAGTTCCTTGACTATTATGAAGAATCGTTACTGTTGAGAGAGTCAATTGTAATAAGCTATATGCTGCCTGTAAATACTTGCAAAAATTTCTGTATATTTTTTAAATTTAGTGAACTCCTACAGCCTTCATTCTAACTGACAAATAAAATTTAATTTATGAAATACACCACTGCATTCTAGCAGCAAGCCAAGATTATATAAACACGGTAGTACCCTACACATATATCTACAAGCTAAGTTATAGCCTCCTATAAAGATGTAGAAATAGAAGCTTTGTTCCAATTACCATCAGCGATTCAAATGGAATGTCCACATTTCAAGTAGATGGATGCATGGTGTTTTAATTAAACCAAAAAGTCTCCATCAGAAACTTCAAGAACCTTGTGGATGCCTATAGGACTCACACCCAGTCTGAACGCATTGCCTTCAATGTACCTGTAGTAAACCTTTGAAAGTAAGACAGTGTAATAAGCAAATATGACTTCAAAGTCCATACAAATCATGAAGCTAACTCACAATTCTTTCAAGTAAGAATGCTTGTAGAATGCATCTGGGATTCTTCCTGTAAATTGGTTATGATCCAAGTACCTGAATATCATCGAAGTTAATCAGTAGTCAACACAGACATTGCAGCTGATGCTTAGACATGGTGATAGAATACAACGAGGCTCATGTAAGGCAGAACAGATACCTGGATGTAATTAGGAAAAGCATAAATAAAGCACCAATCGCAAAAGAAGAGGTATCTCCAGAAAACAAATTCAACAAGATCGTACAATAAAAGAGTAAAAAATTCCAACTATTATAAACTTTGATATTTTGAACTCACAATCTAGTTAATTTAGGAAGATGGGCAAGTGCAGATGGTATCACTTCAGACATCTTGTTGTGGGATAGGTACCTAAAATGAAAGCAACAATAAATTATAGTGACATCGTCATACTGGTACCAATTCACAAAGTAGGATTTCCATCAACATGGCCAGGTAAAAGATAGTAAATACTTACACAACCTCCAAGTTTGTCAAGTTTGCAAGCTGTGCTGGAATTCCTCCAGTCACATAATTATTATTCAAGTACTTATTTCATGATAAGAATGAAAAAGAAAAAAGGAAGAAAAGAGGATATTGAGTTCTTCTCTAAACTTGTCATGCAGAAAGCTGCACACAAATTAGAGTAATATTTTCTAGATAAAAACTTACAAGTTGCATAAAGCTGGAAAGCTTCCTTCAAATCGAATGAGTTCTCTTATAGTACCTACCAAATGATTATTTCCAACATCCCTGGGACATGTGAAATCAGACAAAAGAAGTGAAAGACGTCAAAAAGTAGTACTTAACAGAGTTTAACGCCAGATACAATTAAAATTCCCAAAAAGAACAACAGCAAAGAGTTGACAGAATGCTTACAGATGATGCAGATTTTGCAAACTGCCTAGTTCTGCTGGGATTCATCCACTAAAACGATTTTCTTGAAGGTAGAGGTAGTGAAGCTCTGGTAGATTAGCAAGCTCCTTCGGAATTTCTCCCTTAAAAGTTATTAAAGCTGAAGCATCTACAAAATACAGAAATTTCAGTCAAACACAGAACATATTAGCGGGTAGCGCAGTGATATAAATTATATGAGCGCTAGAAACTGTAACAATTCGAACACACTCACAGATGTGTTAGTCTCTTCAGCTCACCAATCTCATGAGGAATGGGAATGACATCTTGTAGCTGATTCGACCTCAAATTTCTACAAGGAACATGCCAAAATCAGGATTCAAATGTAACACTGAGCAATCATACATTATCAGAACTTCCAGATAAATTTCTGTGAAAAAATTTCTTTAGCATGTCTATCTTTTGGATTATTTGGAAAGAGAGGAATAAGAGTACAAGAGATTTTTTGAGGGGACTTGCTCTTTGACAAGATAGAGATTACTGGTTCTACACCCTGAATATTTTGTTTAGAGTCATCCCTATTCTTGAGGCTTTTGAGTTGGGGATCCTAGCAGAAATGTGGCTTCTGATCTTTTATAAATCTCTTGCAATTGGGTGGCATAATCTTGATGCCTTGTAATACTGGTATATTTTTTTCTCCAAAAAAAAAAAAAACCTTTAACGTGAATTCTGATATTAGATATCTTAATTAGTTAGCAAATTTCTAAGAATTCATTTTTCCTACTTTAAGCCCTGAATATAGTCAAAGATGGTGCCAATTGATTCTGTAGAAAGCATTAGAGCCAGTAAGACACCAATTTCACTCTTCACTTTCTGCTGCAGCACCAAAGGGTACTAGAGTCAGTTGGTGTATTTCTATGTCTCAATTGAAATGAAGGAAACATTAAGTTTTACAATAATAAAAGGATAATACGGTAAAACTATTTTGTACAAGTGAATGAGTGTCAAGAAAGGAAAAGGGGGGCAGGGTAACAAAAGATGGAGAAGTTCCAGATAAATCAAGATATTCTAAGTTTTAAGTCACAAGCACCCTCAGTAACAAGAAATAGAATAACAAGAAAGGCAGTGTAACTTTTAGAAAAAAAGGCCTCTTACCTACGGAAAGTACTAGTCTGCAGCAATGGCAATAGAATCATATCCATTAGGAGGCCGTTCACTAATAAGCTTCCTCAACTGAAGTTTGGTAAAAAAAAAAAAGAATAGGTACTATGTAATGTTATGAAACAAAGATGAAAATGCAAAGCAAGGGATTTAATGCTCAGTGATATTGCAATATTATAACCAGAAGCTTTTGAAGAAAAATAGTGCATTAATATAAAAACATACAATTGTTACAAAAAAAAAATAAAAACATACAATATTCTGAGCAGTTTTAGTCGTCCAATTTGAGGAGGAATTGGGCCTGTCAACTTGTTGTTATGGAGATCCCTGCCAAATCAACATGATCAAGGAAACAAATTCACTTGCAGATCAGCAATAAGCCCTTGAATTTCAAAATATCAAGTCCCTCTTTTATACTTATTTTTAGGCACATATGAGAAGAGATGCAGCTCTCTAAGAAACAAGCTAAGGTTCTCATAATACAATGATATTTTTCAACTCCATCTCATACAAATTATTTTTACGTTAATCAGAAATAGAAAATGAAAACAACCCTAGATTCAAAAATATTCAGCAAACACGACATATATATCTCTCAGTGATTTGTGCAGATTGTTGTGATTCTATTATAAAGAGGAAACAACGAAGAGCGGTCAGGAAGAAAATAGTTCGACCAGCTGATTTACCAAAAAAGGAACAAAATTAATAATTCTGTGCAATTGCTTATATTTATGTGCGTTAACGTAAATGTTGTTGTGCAATAATTATGCAAATGTACTAAAATAAGCGTTAAGCGTGTATTAGGGTAAGAATAAGTCTGTTTTTCTAAGACAAGGGCAGTTTAGATAATTCTGGACAATTAATTCCAGAATTAACTCCTCTTCTTGTAGATATCTGCTGCTGTGCGGAAAAAAAAAAAAAAAAAAAAAGAATCATGTCTGAAGTTTGATATTGGTCGAGAGTGGATTTCTCTTCAAGATATTGTAGGGCTCTCTCAAACCAACAAGCCCTCATTGTTTTTGCTTGAATTCTAAAGATAACTGAAGACAGAAAATAAAAAAATATGACATTATACCTACTGATTTTGTTGTGAATCACCCGATAATGTGAGCTTTCAGAAGGGACCATAACAAGATCCCGAGCAGACACATATACTCATGTTTAGATATAAGTGACCAGTTTTCTTCTTTTCATACTTTCCCCTTCATTTATCACATATATAAGATTAGTCAAGTACCTGATCTGATTTTAGTCAACTTGCATCTATTATGTACTAACAGGTTTCATAGACTGGAAAGATAAATAACTGAAATGGCGCATATATATATATATATATATATATATATATATAAAGAGAAACAGGTTTACACATCATCCATCGTATAAAGGAACAGAAGTATGTACAATTAAAATTTTTGTTCTAGCTCTTCCAAACCGGTTGAATGTAATAATAATAGGAAACAGCAGCAATAAAGAAATAAAACCTAAAATAAATATATGATAGCTGGTAAAGGAATGTTTGGAAACTTACAGCCTTATTAAATCCAGCAAATTGGTTACAGCGATTGGGAAAGGACCTACAATTGATACTGCATACACTTCCCTGCAAGCGAAAATGCTCATGATGAGTATTACAATGCTTATGTGAATTTCTTCATTCTCAAACTTATTGCCATTAAAAGACTAAGGTGACAGAAGAAAACTTGAAACAATTCAGGAGTGTATGTTGTGTCTCCGAACAGGGGGTTGAGCAACTAATCGAACAAAACTTTTGAAATAGCACAGAACTGGACAAGTTAGAACCTTTTTTTTTCCTTTCGAAACAATAAAACATGGTTAACTTACATCAAAACTCGAGTACTCAATATAGAGACATAAGTATTTAAGGATTAACAACCACAATTGGAACAGAATAAAAAGGAAAATATTATGAAAAAATTAAGAATACGAGGAAACACGAAAAGAAATCAACTTCATAAATGGATAGATCTAGTAACAAAGAGTGACTACATATTATATCCACAACTCTTTGACAACCCTGTAATCTCCCTGAGTAGAGCATGTGACACCAGACCAAGGTGGTAGATCACCATCCCCACAGGGATCGTCTCCAACCCAAGCATAGACAACCATCCATCCAAGTGATGCTTTAATCTCATTTAACGCTTTCACTACAATAAAGAATATCAGTTATTTATTCCATGGAAGTGTTTACATTATATTTACACTTGAACCTAGTACAAGTTACCCCCTTCTAGGATATTAATCAAATTTAGAAACCTTTCCACATCAGTAGAAATGGAAATTATAGGAATCACCACCACTTGATAGATCTGCCTCAGCAGTGTAGCAATTCTAAATTGGAAATACATATGCAAGTTACTAAAGAGATAGTTTCTTAGTTGAAAAACTGGTAAGATCTTCGATGGGAAAATGGAGTCTAATCACCATACAAATATGAGCTATGGTGATTTGCTAAACTATGCGATGAAGATCATATAATTAGGCTTCAATTTTCACTTTGCTTGAGCAACATGGACAGGCATGTATCTTCTTCCAGTAGCTTCCTACTTTAATTCTTAAGCAAATACATCTTTGAAGGGCAGACCACTTATGAAGATAAAACGAGGAAAAAAAGACACAGAGGCCAGGTTTGAAAGCCTTGTAGTAAAATAAGAAAATAGCAACCAAAATTTCAACATCGCAAGCATTCTGAAACTGAAGAAACCAACTATTATCATTACACTTCCTTGTTAGTTCTTTCGCAATGTCAACTCCATCAAGCTAGTTTTCCACTTGATTTCCTATATTTTCACGCAAACAAACAGAACATTAAAAAAAAATTGACGAAATGAGCTACCTACCATCTCTCTTTATGGTTTTCGAGCAATCAATCGTGAGTAGAAGTGAGAAAAAGCAAATCACTGTGAATGTCCACCGAGCTGCCATGCTTACCAGCGACGTAAAGAGAAAGGAAGAGATCACAGTAGTCCAGCTTTTTATAGCACTGGAAATCTGGATGCATCCATTTCGGATCTATCTACCCGCCCCGAGTTTTCGGATTTGACAATTTAAAAGTTGATGCTTTAAACAGCTATAAAATTACACCTCTAACCTCAGTTAAAATTGATCTTAACTTTTAACATAAAGGGTAAAGTTGTCTTATCATATACTTTTTGTAAATTAAATTATTATTTTTCAGTAACTTCAAATGGTTAAACCAAAATCCCCCTTAAATCTTTGCCTACCCCGAAATCTCATAAACGACACCGCTTTGTGGAAACGCCGCGTTTTAGCCTCGAGTAAGATTCGCTAGAAGACAGCTCAGAATCGATCCTTCGTCATCCGTGAGAGGTTTACAGAATCAAGATAATTGGAAAGAGAAACCAAACCAGAGAAAAAAATTTCTCATTCCTCCGCGAAATGGCCGCACCGACGAGAAGCGAGGTCCTATCCTTGTATCGATCTCTGCTACGGGCGGCGCGTGAGTTTTGTGACTACAACATCAGGGAATACACAAAAGGTCGAACCATCCACGGGTTCCGCGAAAACCGGAATCTCACCAACCCGTCGGAGGTGTCGGCGGCTTTTGCCGAGGGGAAAAAGCAGCTGGAGGTGGCCAAACGGCAAGCCGTTGTGTACTCTCTCTATGCCCCCAAGACCAAGAGCGTAATGGACGTCAAACCCTGTTAGAAGAGTATTAGGTATTCTTTTTCCAACTTTAACCCCTGTTAGCCATGGAAGGATTTGTTTTCTTTTTAATTTTGGTATAATTTTGTAATTTTTTTACGGGAAAACTGAAACATGAAGAGATTTTTATGAAATTTTTAGTGAATATTAGTGTATTGAGCTAGAGTTTGACGAGTGATGAAATATGCTCATGTTGGTGGATGAAATTTGGGGCTTTGAATAAACGTTTAATTTACTGTTAATATATTTCGAAAGGCAAGCTAAATTCTAAAAGCTCCAGGGTTTTAAAATTTGAAGTCTTGAATTGGGAGTATTGAAATCAAATTTATTATCATGATGGTGTTGGAAGTGACGTTGTTTCACAGTGCATGATATTGGATTCCTTTTTATACGCACCAGTGGGTTTAGGGTTTTGACAATCTTGTGGGGATCATCTTATTGAAAATTAATGATATCTGCTACTCATGGGTTACCTTGGCTCCGTCTACCTTGCTTGAAAAGGGTATCTTTAATTTGTCAGGTAATTGCAGACCGTCAGTTTTCAGTTTTGGCAGTTGTAAATGAGGGCTTGTTTCTGTATTGCTAGTTTTGAGATGGTATAATCAACAATATATGCTTGTTCAATCATAAATAGTTGGCTGCTAGCTCTCTATCTCTGGTTCTGCAGCTAACTTTTATGAACAAGAAAAAGATTTTACATGATGATGGTATGATGTCTTGTACTCATAAGAATTGTTGGTGTACATTATTGAAGTTATCTTCTTGGTGCATGAAGTAAAGAGCAAATCTAGAAACCAGGATATGGAAGTATGATCCTTACATTCCAATAAAAATCACAATCAAACCTTAGCAACCTCCAATGACTTTGGATTAGCAGTGGGTGTAAAAATTTTCTATTTGGCGAGTGAGAGGGGGAGGAAACTCAATCACGTCTTTGCCTTCTGTGTTTTGTGTTTGTGACAGAAATGTTGGCTATTTCTCTTTTTCATTAATATCACACGTGATTATACCAATTCCAGGATTTATGTGATCATCTAACATCATGACCAATGCTTTTTCCGGTTTAAGGATAGTTTGAGGTTAGTCCTCATTCGAGGTTCTCTACAATCTCATCTGAGGCTTTTGCTATGACATCTTGTAGGCATATTCTTCATTGTCTTTTTTGGTCAAGAAGAAGCTTGTAAGAACAATGTGACCTGTAAAGAGCAGTGATTAACACGGCTGTATGGGTATGGGAATATTTCTTGTACTTTGAAGATTATATGAGACCATTTTGGGTTGAATGGTTTAATAGTTTCTATAGATTTAGATATTTGTTATGTTTTGAATTAGCTCTTTCTCCGACAAATTTGACCTTACTATTTATCTAGGCTGCAAAATTTATTTGAGTCATTGGCGGGACACACCTTGATATGGTTCGATTCAAATTAGCTTTTGGAAAAGGTGGAATCTAACAATCATTGGAATAAGCACTCAATGCATCCCTACTGTTAAGGTTCTGTTTGTTTGATCTCCTTCACTATGTCTATCTATTGGTTTAGCACAAGATGGAAGTAACAACCCATTTAAGCTTTTTTTGCTTATATTAAAAGCCTGCTAAACTAAACAGTAAAGAAATCGTTTTAGTTCAAATCAAATTAATGGATTCTCTTTTCCTCGACAAAAGAAAAAATAATAATAACAATGGGAATCCATTCCATTAATAAAACCATGAGAATCCATTCCTGATGTGGAACCCCAAGATCCTTGCTTGAACCTTAAAATTTTTTAATCGGTGTAAAACAAAATTTAGATTATAAGTAAAAATAAAACAAATTTGTTCGATCACTCAAATGGTAGAATTTAAATAGTACCCAAGAAAGATAAGTAATATCCCTTGAACTCAATTCAAACAAACACCAAGAACAATTGAAATAGGAAATCAAAATTGAAGACAAGTGATAACGATTGTATTCCAAATTAACACCTTGTGCATAAAGTGAAAAGAAAGCCAAAACACTCTTAACTCATTCTGAATTATTTGATTACAACTCTTAATGTCCACAAAGAAGAGTTCATTTGGTATTTATAACTAAAAAAATCAATGATAAGTTACAACACAATAACTACAATTGTAACTCTCACAATAATTAGGCTAATTATGTGATAATTACAATTGTAACTCCAACAATAACTATTCTAATTATAGTCATGTAATTATTACGTAACTCATTGTAACTCTAATCTTTTTAACCAACACCACTAATTGTTTGTGACACTATATAGTTATGAGCTCATTCTTATAATAACACTAAAACAAGACTTAAGCTTAAATGAGTGACATTTGACTATATGGGCTTAATTAACTCAAAGTAAAATAAAACAATCCAAATTAATTAAAACAACTCAATTAATCCAGCCCATACACAAGGCTTATTCACTCATTACCAATAAGACTCAAACAAGCACAAATTATCCCAAATCATTTAAACTCAATTAAAATTACGAATTTGGGTTGTTCAAAAAGCTCATATTTAAACATTTCACAATTGGTCAGCCCATCATTCACATGTTTTTGAGTGAAAACTTGAAACAACTCTTTAAGTTTCTTTGTCTTTGATATTGTTACTGGTCCGCTGAAACTTTACAGGTTTGGAACTCTATTTGTGTTTACATTATTTGAAATTTGCTTCAAGTCACCTTTTGATGTTCTTTGAGTATCTTGAATCTTTTTAGTCTTGTTTGTTTCATTTCCCCTCCCTCAAAAGGATTCGTCCTCGAATCAATTCCTGCATCAATTTTAAAAGGGGATAAATCAGATATGTTAAATGTAGCAAAAATACTATACTCTCCTGGTAGGTCCACTTTGTAGGCATTTTCATTGATTTTGGCTATGATTTGAAATGGACCATCTCCACGAGCATCCAACTTAGATTTCTGTTTTGATGGAAATCGTTCCTTTACACAAATGAACCCACACCCAATCTCCGGGTTCAAATGAAATCTTGCGCCTTCCTTTATTGACATGGGATGCTACTCGTTCATTTTTCTTTTCAATGTTCTACCTTGCTTTTTTATGAATTATTTTAACCATTTTTACTTTCTTATGTCCATCCTAATTAGAAATATCACTTATAGGAATAGGCAACAAATCAAGTGGAGTTAAGAGATTAAAGCCATACACAATTTTAAAATGAGAAAACTCAGTAGAAGAATATATACTCCGATTATAAGCAAATTCAACAAATTGTTTCATATATTCCCAAGTTTTAACATTCATTCCAATTAAAGTACGTAATAATATATCAAGTGATTTATTTACTACTTCAGTTTGACCATCTGTTTGTGGATGTGAAGTAGTAGAAAATAAAATTTTGGTCCCAAGTTTAGACTACAAAACTCACCAAAAGTGGTTTAAAAATTTAATATCCCTATCGGACATAATAATTTTAGGAATGTCATGCATTCTAACAACTTCGCGGAAAAACAAATCCGCTATGTGTGTGGCATCATCTATTATGTGAAATGGTATTAAGTGTATCATTTTGAAAAAACGATCAACAACAACAAATATTGAGTCTCAGCCTTTTCTAGTCCTAGACGTAGGTAAACCCAACAAAAAGTCCATAGATATATCAACCCAAGGATGTGTAGGAATGGATAATGGCATATATAATTCATGTGGTTGAACTTTAGACTTAGCTTGCCTACATGAGATGCACTGTGTGCAAATTTTCTCAACATATTTGCGCATATTAGCCAAAAGAAATGTTCATGTAAAATGCTCAAAGTTTTGTCAATTCCAAAATGTCTCATTAAACCACCACTATGTGCTTCACGACAGCACTCCTATAGACTATTAGCACACATAATTTTTCTTTTAAATAGAAAACCATCATACCTATAAAAGTCTTAAAATGCCTCCTTTTGAAGGATTGTAGTGATGGGGAAACGTCTATGGAAGGTAGATTGTTGTTTTCTAGGCGTGCTTTGAATAGGTAAGTAAGGAATGATGATGAGGGGGTTAAGTTGCAAAGAGAGAACATTTTTTATTCTAGATGTCTAGTGAATGAAAAATTGTGTAGCATGATTATTGATTGGGGTAGTTATATAAATGTGGCTAATACCTTGTTTGTTGATAAACTGAGTTTGGAAACTACAAAACATCCTAAACCTTATAAACTGCAATGACTCAACAATAGTGGGGAGGTGAGAGTTTTTGAAGACCAAATGCAACTTGAAAAGTCCCATGATGAATTCTCACAAAGAGAGGTCGAGAGAAAAAGAAAAGAAAAAGAGAAAAATATAATCTTCTCCCTTTAACCCCTAAACAAGTTTTTGAAGACCAAATGCAATTTGAAAAGTCCTATGATGAATTTGCACAAAGAGAGGCCGAGAGAAAAAGAAAAGAAAAAGAAAAAGAGAAATTTTATTTTCTAACAAGCCAATGATTGTACTCATGTACAAGGAAGCTTGTTTCTCAACTAACGAACTTGACCTTTCTTTGCCAAGTGTTGTGGTTGAACCAAATGATACGGAACCCCAAAACCCTTGCTTGAACCTTAGAATTCTTCAATCGGTATAGAGCAGAATTTAGATCACAAGTAAAAATAAAGCAAATTTGTTCCATCACTCAAATAGTAGAAATTAAATAGAATCCAAGAAAGATAAATGATATCTCTTGAACCCAATCCAAACAAGCACCAAGAACAATTGAAATAGGAAATCAAAATTGAATACAAGTGATAACAATTGTATTACAAATCAACATCTTGTGCATAAAGTGAAAAGAAAACCAAAATGCTCTTAACTCAATTCTGAAATATTATATTACAACTCTTGATCCCTTGTATAAGGCCTTGCAATTTTTGATGTAAGTCCCTATAGTAGTGAGTAAGAACAAAGCGCCTTCTCATGATAGCCTTTATTTCGGCCCAAGTGGAAATAAGTCTCTCTCCATTTCTCCTTTCACTTGTGATGAGTTGATCCCACCACACAATGACATACTCTCTAAACTCCACGGCCACAAGCTTTATCTTTTTCTCCTCCAAATAATTATGGCACTAAAAAATAAGCTCCACCTTGCGCTCTCATTCAAAATAAGCATTCGGATCATTCTTGCCTAGAAACGATGGGATTTTCATTTTGATGCTCCCAATATTTTTATCAAGATCATTTTGACCCCTACCATAATTTCGACCTTCATTGACAAAGTAGCTTGGTCATCAAATTCTTCCTCCACTTCCTCATCAAAAGGTGGTGTTGGAAGTCTTCTTGCCATTGGATTGGTTTGGGAAGTTTCCCCTCTCATGGAATTTAACTAACTTTGTTGTTTCTCTAGTTTCTCATTCATGTTGCCAATAGCTAGTTGAATCCTCTCAAATTGTTGTTGCATTGCTTTGAGGATGAATTCTTGATCTTTTAATGTTCTTTCACTCCCTTGTAGCTCCATCTTCAAATCTGAAATTTTAATGACAAACAAAATAGATTGCAACCTCACAAATCACTCCCTCACGTGTTTACTCTCATAGTATGAGTACTCATATTTCACTCAATTTTGGCTTTTACCCTCTTTTGAGCTCATACTCTCTTGTTTTTTACCACTTAAGCAATCTTTTATAACTTTATACAAAATGGTCAATTCAAATAACAATTAATTATCACTATGTACTCAATTTTAATTAGAGATAACAAAAATTCTTAAAAAAATAAGATACACGAATTCAACTCTAAAAGCAAACTAAAACATTCTAAACAATGAAGAGCACACATTTGATATAGAAATAAGTATGTGATGATTTTTATATTAATTAGGCAACAACGAATTAATATTATTATCTCAAGATGTAATAAGAAGCAAATGGTCAGAAATATTAAATGAAAACTAAATATGTAAGAAAAAAAATGATGAATATGAAATTTAATGCAGGAAACTTGTAATTCTCTAATATAATCACAAATTATCATCCAAAACACTCAAATTAAGTGAAACAAACAGTGCTGGA